TTACGCATATGAATATAAAGGCAAAATTTGACTTTGAGAGTCAGATTATTTTCGGTTTTATTAACAACCTGCTTTAATATTTTTTATAAAGTAGATACATATGATAAAGAAATTATATCTAGCTCGAAACTCCCTTTATGTTGGTGACTTTTCATTAAAAATGATTTACTAATGCATATTCTGCTCTGCAAGGAAATGGGTTGCTCCAATGAAAAAATTATATAGGCACAAAAAGATAGAGGCTGTGCGGGTTAAACAACAGCTAAATGCAATTAAAAACTCTTCCGATCAAGTTGATGTATTTCAGAAACAGTTTGTCAACGATAGTAGAAAACTTTCTCGTGATAATGACAAACAAATTGATAAAGAAGCATTTGTAAAAAAGACGAGAATTAAAATACAAGTTCTGATGAAAACCCTGCATACGACAAGAGATTAATTTTTGGTATTATAAATTGGCATGTAATTAACAATTTTCCTTATTGGCTTCGTCAATTAGTACATAATCAAATATCAACATCCATGCCTTCATATGATGATGATTCAGTTGAAAAAATGAATACGGAGAAGCCCATCGAGTCTTTACAAAAACAAAAATTGTTTTGAGCCCCAATCATTTTGAGATTTGCGCGACCGAGAGATTATTGGTCACGACTTCCTCAAGATGAATAAACAAGATTTTAGAGATTGCGGGGGTCTGGGTCACTTTACCGACAACACGCGTGGTTACATTTAATCTACACACAATCAAACAACTAATAAAATGCTAACGTTTCTTGTCGGTAAAGTGTCCGGGTCCCATTTGTGGGTTAGAAATGGGTCCAGCGATACGACTTGCAGATCTCGCTAAGGAATTCAACGACAAAAGTAAATATTTATAATATAATATCTATGGCTTTATTTTATCTAGTTTGATAATTTACAATAACTTGGGCATTCTGCTTATATAGACAAAGACCCAAATAAAGAATTTAAAAAGTCTACAATAGGAGCTCATCCAATCGTTGCCGAATCGAATATGAATAAATTTCACACACAATTCATTAAAGATTTCTACGAACTTCTCAATGATAATCTTAATATAAGACAATTTCAAAATATCAAAGGGGATGTAGAAAAGATTGACAATGCAGTGAAAAGAGCAAAGAAATGATATCGAAGGAAGTGAACTTAGCTAATGATCAAATTATGCCAACTTAATATTTGCCGTTTATAAACAAAAAAAATTTAAAAATGTAGCAAATCAACAATCTTGTTTTTTTTTATACTGCAAGAAATAAATATCGCTTACATAACAATCTTTTTTTTTTACTACTAAACAAAAAATCCGAGTTATGGTTTCTTTCCGGAATCTGTCGAGTTTATTTTTGTTGACTTTATAATGAATAAAAATCCAAGGAAAGCCCAGTCAACAACCCATGACAAAATTCACTTATAGTTAAATTAATAATAAAAGCTATGTTTCACTTTGATTTTATTTTCATGTTGAAAATGAGTGAATTGTGATGCTTTCTTTACATTCATCAAATACAGGATTACACACAGCCAATCAAACTCTAAACTCGAAAAAACAAATATATAATAATTGATTTGTCTATCAAACTCAAGGTCGGTTGTGGTGTTTTAATTATTACGTTTGGATCGTTTCTATTGCAATTTAAGAAAAAAAAACCACAATATTGAACGTGTAATACTTGCGAAACTCTGTTTTGTTCGAGCAATATTTTCTTTATGATGTATGAAATGTAATCAATCAAGCTGTATATGAGGATAAAAAAATGAATCAAATTATTATTATATTGATATTATCAAGTATTTTAAACAGGAAACATTCCACAATTACTTTGTTGCGAAACGGGGTTTAATTCACAGCCTATTGTTCTTTTTTAAATATGGAGGAGGGTATTTAATAAAGTTGGTCTTTTTAATAGTAGTCTTTCAGAAAATTGATCATATCAAGTGAATCGCCTTTTTCATTTTTTATTTTTATAGTTCGTCTCAAAAGGAATCTCAGGTAATAGACTAAAATAATATTGTTTTATTTTAATTATTCGATATCCTCTATATGGAGTTGAGGCGGCAATATAGAAACAATGATCACTTATGCACGTAATGTATAGATGGAAAAGTTACCAAATTTCCATTATGCAGATCCTCTAACTCTTTAAATTCTTTGAATTTTTGCCAAATTTGGATAGAATGTCTGCACTCCGCACTAAATTTTATACACTGGCATTACAATTCATTTCATTATGTCATAATTTCATGATGTCATATATAATGTCATAATAAAACTTGGCAACGCCTCGAGTCCTATAATAATAATAATAAATAATTAAAAAATCTGAAATACACGTTTGGCAAAATTCTACATTGTGTCACTACAATTATTTTTTGTTATAAAATAAAAATTTTCAACTCGAAAGCAATTTTTCAAAAAAAAATTTAATTTAAAAAATAAAATTTAAAAATTAAAAAAAAAAAAATCAAAAATAATTAAAAATGGCGATAACAGGAAATAGTTTATACGGTATTATAGGAGGCGTAATTGGACTAATTATTGTAATTATTATTATAATTATTAATTTATTAATTGTCAATTAAACTGTTAATTTACTAACTATTAATTTACCCAATCATGTTTAACAATACTCTCTAGCTTATATGTGATATTATTGCAATTTTTGAGATTCTTACCAGTAATCGCTCATTTTTAAGTAAACTCTTGTGGATTATAATAATCATCTTCTTTCCACTAATTGGTTTAATTCTTTATTGGTAAGTTTTATTTTTGTTAAATGATTATATTAGTAGTCGTAAAGATAATAATAACATAAATAATAATAATCTGATTATTATTATTAGCTTATGCTCTGGTCGTCGAAAACGTGGAAGTAGAGGAATTGTTTAAAGATTATGAAAAAAAAGAAAAAATTCCACTACAATAATTATTTGTTTTTATTATTATTTTAATATTTTAATTAATTTTTAATTTTTGTATTTTTATTTTATAAAAAATAAAATTATTAATATTTAATCGAGATTGAAAAAAAAATCAATGAAACTAATACCAATATACTCTCTCTAGGTTGTACCGTGAATGCAACAATGGTAATATAATAATAGTAATGACAGGTCCAGAAACTGCATGGATCTGACAAAAGAATAAATTCACGCGCGCTTCTTGACACTTTTTTCTAAAACTACATTTAATATGCTAGTTATTATTATTATTAGTAAAGGCTAAAATGTTTAGCTACCTGAGCAGATTTTTGATGCGCTCCAAAACCATTAATAAATTATTCTTTTCAGTAAACAATTAATTGCACAAAAATGTTCATTAAAATAAATCAGGTGTATATGTATTGGTATGCCAATTTCTCTTTTCCGTCATTAAAAATAAAAACTTTGAATGAAGCATAGATTAGTTACAATGAAATATATATATATCGTTTTATAGCCAAGGTATTCATTAAATAAACCTACAACAATAAATCTCTTTCTAAATATTGCACACTGCAGGAAGTTAAGTACACATAAGAATCATATCTGAAACTTCAATTCCTATGTTTTTCGTATCTATTTCGAACAAATTTTGTTCAAACCTTTCGAAAATTTCAACTGTTAAAATAGAGTGCTCTTAAAATAATGGGCGACAAACACTGTATATTTTCCACTTCAAATGCTAAAGCGAGGCCTTGTAAACATGTTTATTTATTTTAAAATTTTAATACATTATTAATCCTACACGTAATCCAAACCCAATTAGCCTATTACCTTTTGATTATTATTATTATTATTGAATCAATTAGGCAAACTCATCTAATTAATTAAAATTAATTAAAACAAATGAAAAATAACACGAATTCTTTCAAGTTATAAAAGAAGTGGAAGGAGTATGATGATATGATGAAAGCATTTTTTTCAAAAAAAAAAAAATGAATGGCATTGTGGCGTAGAAAGCTCAGCGACTAAGTGACTAGTAAGATCAATAAGCATTTATTTTTTTACAATTTTTTTATACCACCTTTTGTTAGTTGTTGGACATTTTAAAAGGTCGAACTTAGCATTAGCAAAATCAAGGGAGCTTCCATCTAATCAAAGTCAAGATTTGAACACCCATGAATTACAGATGAATCATCTTTAATAAAGTTGCTGAACAAGTAGATAATATTAAAGTATGATTATTAATAGACAATTTTTACGCAGAATATTAATTATTATAATAAGTTGGATTGTTTTTACAGGTAAACAATAGGAAACCCTGGTTTATTGACAACTAGATCACAAAATAGAGCAAATTATATTATTTTAAATACTGTTAATGATTTAATTTTAATAGAAATCTTTTATAACACTTACAATTATATCAAAATTTTGGACAAATTTGAAATAGTTCATGAAATTAAAAGGTTCACAGATTTATGATCCTGTATGTTTGATTTCTTGGATAATACATCCTCAGTATCATTACGAGATGTATTCTAAGTATCTTTCTTGAAAAAAAAAAATAAAGGTTAAATTGGCCTTGAGTCTTGGAGACCTCTTTATGTACTTATTTCCTTATTTGAAAACTTTTTTGCTAATTTTCTTACGGTTCAAAATAAAATTTTCTATGTTTTGTTTATTTCAAATTTAATAATTCCTTCGATTCTCTTTGTAAGAGTTGATTCCTTCTCTGCTATTCATTTGTCAGTTTCTCTTGATAAAAGGTGAATTCTCGGTCAAATACTCTTTCGAATTATTTTTAATCAATCCCTTTTTCTTTGATTACCGGATGATCCAACCTTTGATTTATGAATTCTTTTTTTAATTTCCTTTGTTTTAGTTCCAAGTTTTGTTCGATTGTCCGTCTTCTGTTCTCCATTCCTTATTGGTTTTTCGATGTTCTTCCAGTTTATCGAAAAGAGTTGTACCATTTGTAATTTATGACCAGTGATTTGGTAGGTTTCTATGATATTTTCATAATCCCAGAACATTTCCTGTTTTATGATCATTTCTTTGTATTATTTATTTAAATAATCTAAATAACAAAGTTGAATAATTCGTTGAAAGTTAAAAATTTAATTATAGACAAATAAATTGATCGTATAACAGCATTGGATGGTGGCGGTAATGGTGATTATAAATCCATGCATGACTCATTATTCTAGTTAAATAAAACAATTGATATTAAATATCATTACTAATTCTTGTAAAGCTAATTTACGTATGAATATGAATATCGGTCGTCTCAAATATATTTTAATTACACAGCCCTTTTAGGGGAACAACAACAACACACATCATATTACGTAAATAGTATTAATTTCCTTAAAAGGAAAAAAAGTTTATATCAAGCAATTATTCATTCTATTTATATCTGCTATATAACATAGTCACCATATGCGAACGATTTCCATTTTGGGGGTTTATTGTAATTTTTTCAATTGGCCACGTAGCCTGAAATTCACACGCATGACAATTTAAGAATTGTTGATCTTTTTATAAATAAAAATTTTTTGATTTTTTTTAAATCCAACAAACATGCAACAATTATTATTGGTATTAAAAAAAAAACAGGCCACAAGTGATTTTTTTTTTTAAAGAAGGCACATTTTAATAAGTTTATTTCCAGTGAATAAAATAAATAAATTCAGTTTAGCAGAGATTATCATGTCTAATCCTAATAATGAAACAACGGGAGGAGTTTCAGTTGATGAGCATGAGAATGGGCCAAAGTAACTATTTTAATTTATGATTATTATATAAAACATTAAAGAACAATAAATACTCGAGTATAAATTAATTTGTTACTAAATGTATATATATATATATATATATATAGTGATGCTTCAGAGCTTATAGATGAACTAACAAGGCAATGTATTCAATATGAAGTGGCGCTTGTTGATTTAAAAGTAGGTTGAGAAAAACTAGTTTTTGTTAATTATTTAATTGGCTAATCAATCAATCAATTAATTAACGAATAAATGAATGAGAGTCACCTATTAATTATTTAAATTGATCGTATGTTTGTTTAGGAAGATATAATAAAAAAAGAACAAACTTTAGCGTCAAAGATCCGTGATCATGATAAACTGGATAAAAGTGCAAAGGTTTGGGGGTATTAATAATTGATTAAATAAAAAAAATTATAGTAAATGTAAATCTAATATAATATTTACTTATTTATTTATTTATATCTCAAGGAACTTGATGAAATGATTTCTTTAACACATTCTAGGTCAATGAAAGACATGGAAAATACAATCAATACTGCAAACGAAACAACCAAAGAAATTTCTGACAAATTAGTTTTAATTAAAAATCAAATTAAAGCAAAAAGTGAAATATTAAAGCAACATCAACATTTGGTAAGTCAACTAATTCTAAGCGACAATTAAATTGGTTAATTAAATTGATTGACTTTTTTTTTTTACTAATAATTTGATTAATATAGTTGTCAAGTTTGCAAAAACAGGTTGATATTGAAAAAAAATCAGTAAGAATTGTTTCTCGATACAGAAATATATTAATGATTTGGATTTTATTTTTAATTGTAATCATTTTAATATTTTTTTCAAATAAATATTATTTGTAAATTAATAATATATATTTACTCATTATAAATTTTTCAAATTAAATTTAAATAATAATAATGATGATGATGATAACAATAATAAATTCCTATTTTAAGTTATTTACCTCTTGACACTTTGGGAAATAAATGTTGATGATTTTGTTAAATGGATCAGAATTTGAGGATTTGTATTTTGAAAAAGTATGCATGACTATAGACTATGAAATGGCTGGTTTTTCCATCGAACTCAGAGTAGTAATCTATTTATTATATAGAAAACAAAAGTAAGAAAATAATATTTATTTATATCAAGCTAAAAAGCGAGCAAGGGTAATAATGAACACATTTATGGGGCTTATTGTTTGATATAAAGATTTATTATTATTATCATTGCCTTACTTACATAATATCAATCGTTAATTTATGATCAATTAATTAGTAAGCGATCTAATTTGAAGAAAAATTAAATATGACAATGACTAATGAAATAAAAGGTTTATAAATATCGGCAAGCTTTCAATTACTTGAAAAATTTTATATAACTAAATATTTCATCAGAATATTATTAATATAATGATAAAAATCAATCAACTGATGATGAGTTTCATCCCAATTTCAACTCGAAAAATAATTAACATCATAAAGTTCCTCGCGAGCCGGTTTGCGCAGAATTACATATCCAAATAAATAATTAGGACATAGATTGAGTGTTGCTGATCATTATTTGTGCATATATTCCAGGAGGAAACACCCAGGGCTATTCCTGATATCCACAATATATTAAATACTTATACTACAAATCTAATCCTAATTGCGCCGGAAGGTAATATAATAATTGTTGTGTAGATATACTGTTCCAATGCTTTGGGATCAATAATGAGTCAAGTGAAATTGTTAGAATATTTGATGATTTGTGATAAAAAAGGAATCACCTTCACCCGGAATATTTACAATCGCAAAATTGAATAAATTGATTATTGGGTTTATGATAATGTGATAATGGTGATTTTGCTACATTTATTTATTTTATTTTATTTTTGAAAGATAATCGACATATCGAACCATTATTTAATTAAATCTTTGGATCGTATAGAAGATATTCTGATTTTCTTGTATGTCAGACTTTGGTAACTAATCCAGTTTATCACACTCGTTTTAAACCTATTTCCAATATTTTTCAATGGGCACAACACATCTATCAGCTTCCAAAAAGAAAATTTAAAAAATTGTTTTTTGTTGTTATTAGTACTGTCAAGTAATTATTACTATATTAGATTTTATAATCTTTCAAAGTCAATAATTAGATCATGCGTAGTAGTTAAATATAAATAATAATAATAATAATAATTATGTATATTAATATATAGATATTATTTCTGAATTAAACGGAAATTAATCAGATTGGTTATTGAACGCGCGTTATTACAGAAAACTTGTTTACTGCGTGTGACCCAAATAAAGACATTGGAAATCATTTCTTCGATTTCATTTCTAGAACCTTTAGTTTAAATTTGACAACAATGTTATCATCATTTATCATTATAATCATAATTATTATCACTATTATTATTATTATTATTATTATTATTATTATTATTATTATCATTATTTAATAAATTCGATAACGTTATAATTTGGAATTCTTGATCACCTTACCATGAATTAATACAATAGGAAATTTATATTATATATGAGAATGTTATTGATGATTTGTTGATTCTTTAATAAAACCTAAAGTAACTGGATAATGAATCAATTTGTTGTTTCAGATTTATATTATTGTTGCTGTTTTCTTGAATTTCTTCTTCATCCACAATTAAACTTTGTGTGAAATTAATTGCAGGTGAATGATGATAATTAATAATAATATAACCTATCAATATTTTTGATGAACCGTTGGTTTTATTAAAGCACAAATCGTTATATAAAATCCTCCAATACTAAATACACTCGCAATGATCCGTGTGCGTAATGGTAAAATGTTAAGAAATTAATTTCTTTCTTGCATAAAATTTCTAATTGCGTGAATTATTCATTTCCAAATAAAGATGATCGATATAAATTATTCTGCCAATGTTGCAATATAATTTATTGCCATCAATCTTGATTTTTTTTTCCTTTATTGTTTGTGTAACAATACAATTTCTTTAATACACAAATTTAGCGAAGTAATTTAACACTAACCAAAAATATTAACCGCTTGACATTCTTCTCCCAAAATGAAATTGTAAACAACTACAATATAAATAATAATGCGCATGAAATGTTATTTTTAACTAACGAAAGAGAAGAAATTATTTAAAAAAATGCAAATTATACTCTCTTCCTTATTTAGTGTTATCTCTTAATAAAATCGCTTCTTTTAATGAATGTTTCAGACTCCACATAAGGAAATATTACCAATATAAATATACAGTGTTAATTCCTTTGGAGAAAGAGAAATACATCTTTTCGTGAAAATTAAAAAAAATATTTCTTTCATAATAATAAAATAATACATATATATAAAGATGAATTACAATTATATGAAATTCTTTTTGTTATTAAGCATGGTTTTACTTTTTAATAATCCGGCATTATCGTTGCCACATAGAAATCATAGAGGTAAGATAATTTCCAAAAAAAAAAACTAATTTTCTTTGGATTTTAAAAATATTAAAAAGATAATAGAATTAATGAAAATTTTAAATATTTACTAGCAAGAGATAAAAACGATAGAAACGACAACTTCACCACCACAAATTATAGTATATTCCCATATCCTCATCAAACAAATCCAAATGACGGCATCCCGGAATAATTATAATAATTATTAGCATAAATAATCAGCATGTTAGAAATTTATTATAAACAAAATTATCATCCTTTTATTCAATTATTTGCTTATTTATGTACTTTTTTTATGATATTTTTTAATTCTGTTTCTAAATTCTAGATTTAGTTTTAAATTTAATTTTAGAGAAACTCATGTGAAGAAAAATGATATATTAAAATATATAAATATTATTATAACAATTAAAGTTTGAAAACTT